CCTCCTGTGGCAATGCACTCCTATGTGCCTCAGAAGGTAATTGAGACATAGGAGAAAAATTTCTTCTTCCAGAGATGTTAAATCTATTTGTTGGTTTACATTATGAATCATTGTCTCTGATAACACCTTGCAAACGTTCTCTGTTCCAGCAGTGTGTGTAAGTGACTGATTCTACACCTTGAGTACATTTTTAACTAGTGTTTTCTACTGGGTTATCAAGTTCCTCAGTTTAGAAAAAGACAGACATGGTCTGTGTCACTATCACACACTGCACTTATCTGGCATGTAGCAGAAAAACAGCCTTGAGCTCTGCAATAATATTAATCACAGAGTATGGGCAGTGCCAGAAAAAAGGTCAGAACCTGATGGCTGGAGAGGGAATTAATTCTGGAAATATTTTTCCTTCTCAGTACATTTGTATTGTTCTTATATTGCTTGATAAGCCTTGAAAAGATCCTTTCTTCTTCCACTCTTTTCCTTTAGAAGAAGAGTTTTATCATAATCAAATACCAAGCAGTTGAAATAACCTGCAGACTTGTCACCACAGCTACTTTGAGTAGGAGTGTAAAAATAGGTATTCTGTGATGATCTTGCCATATCAGTAAAACTTTCTTGCAAGCAAAACAGAAGTGTTTCATTTATCATCCCTGGAGACGTTCAAGGTCAGGCTTGGTGGGGTTCTGAGCAACCTGATCTAGTTAAACAGGTCCCTGCTCACTGCAGGGGGGTGGACTTGAAAACCTCAAAAGGTCCCTCCTAACCCAATGCATTCTATGATCAGCAGAAGTAACTGTTAGTATATGGTGATTTCTAGCAAAGCCTTCTGCAGACATATGTCTGGAAGAGCAGATGCTCTTCCAGAACAGAGAACCTCTCAGAGTGAGAAACTGGGACAGGGAATAATTCTGCTGAAACATGCAGCTTTCCCTGGAAAGCCTTCACAACCTTACTACAGACTGCCACTCCAGACTATTTACATTCTGAAGGCAAAGAATTAACCTTGTGAATGAAAGCTCAATTTGGCTTTTATTCTCTTCCCTGAGGCAGAACACTGTCACAGCATCAAGTGATACACATCTCCCTTTTAGACTAACTTACTTGTTTTGGCTGGATGACTGTTAATTGCTTTTTGTTAAACTTACTCAGTTCTTCCTACATACAGAACCACATTAATTCCAGGCAGGAAAGCTATAAATCTAATAAAAAAGGACCCCTAAGCTTGTGCAGTATCTTACTGATGCTACAGAACTCTACATACACATGCTGAACCAATCAACATCATATTAGTCCAAAGTCAACAGCTAAATCTGCCAGAAAAACAATCAACATGGAAGTAAACTTTACTATTTCCAGGACACCCTTCAAGAGACTAACAAGCTAGTTAGTATTCAAAGTTAAAGTCAGTATTCAAAGCCTCACAGAAAGGTAATACCAAGGCCTAATTTTGCCTTTTTTTTCTGTTTCACATTGGCAATATGGACACTGTTGTTGTTGCTGAAAGGCAAAATAAGACAGTAACATTTTGTCTCAAACTAATACTACAGGATTTAATTATCTCATTTTCTTAATTTCAGGACACTTACAGCACAGGTTGTAGAAAAACACAAAGCTGCCATAAAGGTGCTATCCACCTTCAGATCTTCTGAATATTCATCACAATTATATTTTCACAAAAGAGCAGAAAATAAAAACACTAGTGTAGTGCTTGAGAATAATAATAATGCATCATTGGGACCCACAGTTTCCATGAGTACACACAGTCCTTTGGGTTATGTTTTAATAAAGGTCTAGTATATCCAGCCCTTCCTTGCATAATAGGACTGAGTAGTCAAGTACATCTTTCTGGAAGCTTCTTTGTATCAACCTAATTTAATCATTTACATTATGAACATCTGAAGACTCATTCTCTAACCAGTACATGTTATTACTCCCCTAGTGGTAACTCAGCAATTGCAGTCTGGCTTTTACACAAACTTCATCAGTAAGCGTTAGCTACCAAATCCCATTATAATGGTTCAAGAATCTTTTCACATAGGAAGTGTCTCTTAATTACTGCTCTGCAAATAAATTACAAAAGTTGAAAAGCAAGCAGATATTTAAGTAGATGAAACAGCTAGGCACAAGTATTGGGCAGTTAAATGAAATGCAGTTCTCTCCTATAATCCTGCATGTACAGTTGAGATGAATGGGACTTGTTAAAGAAACCATATTCCCTCTTATTTCAGCCCCTAAATTCAAAGGGGAAAAAACCCAACATAACCCACGCAAACAATACCAAAACAAACACAGAGGACACAGCTGCACAGAATTACAGAATCTCCACCCAAGGGAAGAGAAAGCAGGGTTGCTTAGCAGAGTCCAGACCAGCCAAGAAAGGGACAAACAGTTCTGGAAGAGCCCTCCTCACTTCCCAAAAAGAAGAAATCCGGGCTCTCAAACACCACTTGTCTTCCCTAGATACCCAGGCCACACGCCCTGAGGGAAACAACCAAGCCCTCTGCGTGTCTGCCATTTTAAAGCAGCTGTACCTGAGCCCTTGGTGACAATGCCTGGTTTTTAAAAGGCAGACACAAACTCACAGCTCACCATATCTACTCCCGGGAGAGGGAAGGAGGGAGAGCAGCCTGGGAGAGGGAAGGAGGGAGAGCAGCCGGGGAGAGGGAAGGAGGGAGGGCAGCCCAGGGCCCCGCAGGCCCCGGCTCCGCTCCTGGGTACCTGCCTGCCAGCGTCTTAAAGATTTTTATTCTTTTTTGTTTTGGTGTGTGTTTGTGGTTTTCTGACAAAGAACAGGCTCCCACAAAAAGAAAATGTACCAGTGCCCCCAGTTCTTCTGACAGTTGCATTCTTACGCAAGGCTTCCTGCCAGCTGCAAAAAAAAATATTCCAGTCTTGTGGTTAGTTGTCAGCACTTCCACATCAAGAGACCTTTGCGAGGGCAGGGTGGAGGCTGGCTTAAAAGCAATCAAACAAAAAATAACAAAACAAGGAGAAAGGAAGCCTCGCACCAAATTCTGTAAGGAAGCTTTGCAATGCTGCAACAGACCAGGGAGCACTTTTGTATCACACAGGACGGACTGTAGGGCCGTGTCTTGTAACCGTCAGAAACTGGAGACTAAGAACAACTAAGATGAGGATCACAACAACACTTTTAGGGCATTCTCTGTGTAAGTAGTTACTTCTTCACACACAACAAGGCCTAGTGTTCTTTAGGAGACATAGCTAGAGATTATACTCACTTTGTCCAAAGGGTAACAAATAAAGAGCATCTACTTGCTGCAACTGTAATTACACAGCTTTTTATTACTGGTTAGATTATCAAGAGTCATCAAATTAATTTCTGCAGTGAAGTATAACTCAAGTTTGTGGTATTTGTACTATTCTCATACAAATTTTCACTTCCTCACAGCTTAATATTCAAACTTTGACCACAATACTTCCTTAACCAGCTGGTTAGCTATAAATATTTATTAGCATCTTAAAACTTCTCTAGATTTGATAGTTTGTTGTTGTTGTTTTTTAATATAGGTGTATTTTTTTTAAATTACATTGCTGCTAATAATAAACAGTGCCATGTACTCCCTTAGCCTCAGCCATACAGTCACTTGCACTAACTCTAGCAAATGTGACTGGCTGCCATGAATCAGTGACCTCATTTCCTTCTAAGAGAAGTGCAGGAAAAATTATATACAGCCTTCTATACAGCGTGGCAGCACAGCTCTACCACACAGCTCTCACAAAGAAAAGCTGCTGATTATGTCAGCTACATCTTAGAGTAACTCTAAGTAACATTTAATTGTATCCTAAACTGCTCTTCCTCGCTCCAAAGCTTTTTATTCTGCTCGCTGCCCTGTCTGCCACAGGCTGAATGCAAGTGGAATACAACAGAAGTCTTTACACAATCATCAGTAAAGACCAGTGCTATTTCTATATTTAGGACTTCCTCAGCCCCTAGAGCCACTCCTCAAAGATCTCCTTCATGTAATTCCACCAGCAGTCTTGCTCAGTATCAAGAAAATGTTTTTTCTCACAATTTTGCTGTTTTCCTACTGTAAGCCAAGGATGTACTTACATACTACAAATCTTTCTAAACAAGAATCATTGTTTCATGTCTAAAAGTTTTCTTTTTTCCTCTTAGTTCAAATGTCTCAGCAGACTCAGAAAACTACTGCAAATGGAAAAGGTAGGTTCTCTTTTTTGTTGTTTTGAAATATATGCTGAAATAAAATGTTAACAGAAAAACAGGGGAGGGATTTTAAAATGTCCAAAACCGTCCAAAACCTCCATGTAAAATAAAAGCTTTTGCCTCTGTCTGTGCAGTGAGGCAGTTCACAAGTTTTTATACTAAGTTAACTTTTTGCTGACCTGAATGTGGTCAAAATTACTTTAAGTTGTTACAACATATTTTTCCCCTCGAGAAGTGTAATAATTTCTCTTAGTCATGACTAATTTATTACCATTTTCTATGAAAAGGTTTTTCTTACAAATGTATTTGTATGATCTCATAAGAGAAATCTCATTTGATAAACCATCAAGGCAGCTGCTGCTACAATTCAAAACTTTCATCTACTTACACAAGGTTAATTCTGCCTACTTACCTATGGCCACAAAGAAAATACTTCATTTACTTTCAGGTTCACATACTACCTATCAACTAGCACGTAAGGTTATTTTTTTCTACAATTAACACCCTGTAATATTTATAATTATCTTTTATACTTCTTCTCATTGCTGCTGTAGTTCAATAGTGGCTTTGTTGGTTCATCTGTTGGCTTTCTGTGGATGTGCTCTCTTTCACACAGACACACATTTTTCATCAACTTTGTACTGATTTTGAAAAATACAAAGTCGTGTTGCCTGCTTCTGGAGGTGGAAAAAATATAGAAACCTGTATTTCAACAGAAATCAGGATAGCCTGACCCTTGACATACTTGGGGAAAAATCTGAGTGTTGCTTGGATGACAGGTACTGTGAACTCACTCAGCAGGTTGTTCTTTCCAGAGATGCTGTCCAATCCCAGGCTCGTGCCTGTTCGGGGGACTTTGAATGTAGTGATGAATCAGGACGTGACCCTCTCCTGCCACTCAGACTCTGGATCTCCACCTGTCAGATACACATTGTTTAAAGACAGTCAGAAGGTATCCACTTTAAACAGGCCAGACTTGACCCCGGGTTTATTTAACCTGACTATCAACTCTGCCAGTGATATAGGTGAATACAAATGCAAAGCTGAGAATAACATCTCCAGTGGAAGAAAATACAGCAACAGTCTCAACTTCACCCTTGGAGGTATGTCTTGCTATACAGCTTCTCAGCCACATTTTATTGCAGGGCATGTAGCCATGTCTGATGCAATGTAAGTGCAGCAGCAGGAGACAGGGCTGTTCGTGGCAGGTACTGCTCTGAGCTGCAGTGTGTTCTTGCCTTGACTGTGAAGCTGAACTTGACTGCAGATAGTGATTATGACCTTAGGAGTCAGCAATGTTGTTGTGCCCAGGCTCACTCAGCTCTCCATCCTCAATGCCCATCTCATTTGCCAATGTTGCTGCTGAACTCTGAGTCTTGCTTTGGAGCTTGTCCTGTACCCAGTGATGCAGCCTTTTCAGCTTTCCTTTCACAGAGCCAGTTTCCAAACCAGTGCTGAGCTCACCCACCTCTCAAGCAAAGAAAGGCCAGAACGTGACCCTGTCCTGTCTCTCAGAGAACGGCTCTCTTCCTATCACATACATATTCTTCAGAGGAAGACAGACCATCCCTCCCCCAGTGAAGATGGAGAAGAGAGAAGCAGCTGTGATTTTTCTGTTTATCAATTCCTCTAGTGACTTTGGAACCTATAAATGCAGAGCTGAGAACAGCTTCCGCAATAACACAAAATACAGCAACGGTTTCAACTTCACATTAGCAGGTAGGCATGCGTGGAGCAGCTGACCACTGCTGATCAACAGGGACCACAACATTCAAAATGTTGCAATAATGCAAGTGTTTTAGCCAGAACTTTTGTTCTTGCAATAAACTATAATGTTTGACAATAAAAAAATAACTTGAGTTTTTAAAATTAAGGCAAAACATTTCCCTGCAGCCCAGACAGTAAGAGAGGTTGAAGTGACCGCGAAGGACGAATGTTAAAGACTCACTTTTACAAGAGCCTCCTGGTCCACCTTGGGAAGAGTCTGGTTTTGTTTTTCTCTGGTCTTATGAAAGGGAGAGTCTACTAGCACCACCAAGCTCCCTTCCTTCTGCTCTGGCAGTGCACACCTGGCAATCTCCCGTGTAGTTATGTTATCCACAGTTAATCCAAAAGCTGAAAGAAATGCAGAGTCTTGATTTTAATTTACAGAAAATACTTAGAACATGAAACAACATTTCATACACACTTTTTTCTTTTTTTCCTTTTTGGCAGAAGAGAGACACCATTATCAACCCCTGATAATTTCTCTTGGGCTGATCTTGCTGCTGTTTGTGATAGGATTTGCTCTGGCAGTTCGATTTTTCATAATTCCTTCATATAAAGCAAGTGAGTTATTTGAACGTTTGTTTCATTTTCCAGAAGTGCTCATTTATGTTGTCAATATAGTTTAGCGAGTAAACATCATGTTGCAAGCAGAGTTATGCTGTTGGTATTTTAAGATGCTTTGAAGTCTCTTCTTAACCAACACAGGCAACTTAACAAGACAGTGATAAAGCAAAACCTCTGTGCTATGTTTTAGATGGCAGGTCTGGGATGGGGGAAGCAAAGCAACATCTAATTTAATACACAGAAATGTTGGAAGGAATTAAGACCTCATTGTTCTTAGTAAAGCAAGAAAATTCTTATTAAAATGTCCTTGGTTAAGGAGTCATTTTTATTATGAAAATAACATTATCTGAGATCTTCTGTAATTAAAAAAATAGTAAGTAGGTATTTCTCTGTAGGAAGAACTGATATACATATATAAGCAGGTGTTTTTCTTTTACAATTTGCAGAAAAATGTAAGTCTACTAGGCCCTCAACTGGCCTTACTTCAACAGTGAATGCAGAAGACTCTGAAAATGATGTCATATACACAGAGATTGGTAAGTTGATGCTACTTCCCATGCAGTCATGCAACTGACTTGTGGGAGTCTGGTTGAAGAATGTTAAGATGTTTGGTTGAAGAATGCTGTTATTCTCTTTGTAGCTGGCATGGGCCCATTCTTCAGGTACTGCAAAACAGTGAAAGGGGACACCTACTATCCCTCTACACCAGTTAATACCCTGGCCAACCATGCCAGGCAAAGATACATTATTTGAAGTCCCTCAGGATCCACACTTGGCATCACCTATCAGCCATGCAGCCAAAACTGGAATTGATTAAATGAACTGCAATTCCATAAAAAAAATCTACTGTAAACAGACATAAAATTAAGAATTGTACTTGGCAACTCATGGTGATGATTGAAATAGCCATCAGAGAGGAAAAAAGAAAATCAAAAGACAGCAATCCCCATTTACTGAGACAAAAGTGGGTGATATGCAAGTTGTAGCAAACTAAAACGTACACAGCTCTTGCATTCTGTTCCAAAAATTTCAGCACAGAACAGCTCTCTATTCCAAGTTTCTTAACTTTGACAAGACTCACAGTCAGTTCAAACTGAAGATAGGAGGTAATGCTAGATAAGAAAGCAACTGGCCTCTGTGTTAAGACATTGTACCACCACTACTCCAATTGCAGACAATACACAATAACGAAGACATTAGGTGAAAGCCATGATTACTGTCTTGTAGCTTTCTGCATTTGCCTTATATATGAATGTTGGCATTTTCAAGGGAAAAAGAAACGCCCAAAACAAACTAACAGCAATGGTATTGTTTCCTGTTTTGAAATATCAAGCAAGGGAATCATCCTCTCTGAACAAATCTGCCTTCCTGTCAACAGCAGAGAGCAGTTCTGCCAGATCCCTATCAGCATTCTGTCCACAGAGCCTGCAGGGACAGTGACAGCCCTGATGAGGCCCATGACTGCTACATAAAGCATGGTAGATTTATACTCAATATAAATCTTCCTGCTTTGTTTCAAGATTTTTTTTAAAATAAGTATTGATTTTTTTAAAATCTGGTCAGTCTCTTATCATTAACTGCTGTCCCTCATCTTTCATCCAGAACCTGTGAGAGCAGAAGAATATGTCAACTTTTCTGTTCTTAGAAGAGAAGACAACAAAGGTGAAAACCATGCAGATGTTATTAGTGACCAAGTTGCTGATGCTATATTAATTCTTATGTTGTGTATCTGTACCAAAAAAAAAAGCAATTATGAATTATGTTATTCTGACTTTTAGAAGAGAAGAAGCCTTGTGCCACAGTCTATTCAAAGGTCCTCATCAGAGACACAGTACAAGGTAAGAGCTCTCTTGTGATTAACTTAGTCATGTATTTCCAGGCATCTTTTTCAGTGCTCAGATGTGGTTAGTACCACCAAGGCTGCACAGAAAGAGATGATGTTTAGATACTAGTTTCTAGTCTCATTGTTTTGTAGACAGACAACAAAACCCATTCTCTACTAGCAAGCAAAATCCCTAAGTCATAATGTCTAAGGACTTCAACTTAGAAAAAGCAGAACAGATCAAAATTGGAATTAACAAAGACCCAAACAGTAATCTAATTAGACAAACAACAGCTTACTGCCCAAACAGCACCATAAAATAATGCCTGTTTTGTATCTATGCAAACTCCTGTATCTGATTTTGACTACAACACTTACATTAGGGTAAGTATGATCACACATTAGTCTTTTTCCATCATTTTCTATGTACAGACATTTTTTGCCCACAAAAATGCTTGAAAAAAACTTCTTACAATTTATTCTATTTCCTGTTACTCTTGATAATGTATTTCTGATTTTTATACTTATCAAGTGCAAGATGAATGTTTAGCTTAAGTGTTGAAGAACTGAGGCCATGTGAATAAAATACATTTCTACAAAGAGATAGTACAAAGATACTTACTGATATTATTAAAACATTTAAGATTTGGAAGTCTTTTATAGAAAACACCATTTTCCAGCAGAGATCATACTTGTATCAGCAATACCAGCAATACACAGACTGGTTTTTTTTAGGTTAAGATGAAGTATTTTCAGTAAGACAGTAAAACCAAAGGCATGGAAGAGAATATCATTGGCACTGCTAACAAGGGACAAGTTTGTCTCTTCCCTCTTTTCCAGGTAACCTGGAACACTTGGATGGTCTAGATTTGACAGAAAACAGATGCACCAATTTTTAGCAGAACTATGTGCAGAGAAACCACTTGAGTCCATGACGCTGTAGAAGCCAGTTCAGGCAGAAATTATTAAGAAAATAATTTTATTCAACAAATCTAAGTTTACATATTTTTGGCTGATGTTACATACTTCACTAAAAAGTCCTTTAGCCTGGAAATGTGCATCATTTCCTTCATGGTAGTGTCTCTGCTTCTCAGCTGGACCACTCCATTCTCTAGAGTGGCATCAGTTATCAAGACCATGAAGAGAACACTCATCTCATCATACCTGCAAAGAAAAGAGCACACCTGTTACTACTCCTGGTGTATGAGAAACTCAGCTAAATTATGTACACTGACCATAAACTGAAAATACTTGGTTTTGCTATATTGTACTAAGCCCAGTGTGAACACATCAGCTTTCCTGTTGTCATTCCTTGCTTTCCTGATCACATTTCTTTAATTTAGTTACTTCAGTACATAATGTGATTTGGTCAACTTTTACAAGGGTATTTTTGTAGAAGCAGAATATATATTTCTTCTGTTATTTAACAGTCAGACTTACTTTGAAGACTACTGCAAGGTTATGACTCATCTAAAGTAATTTATTTTCAATGGTAGAGTCTCTAAAAGGCATCTCACAGCTTCAGAGAACCAACAACAACATCTGAAAGGCTAAAATTCACTTAATTAAAAAAATTATCTGACATTGCCCTTCCTAATACAACTAACTAAATCCAAGTTTATAGTTGGGAATACATGCCTTCAGTCATGTGGTTACTGCACTCGATGACTTCTTACTGAAAACAGGGTTATTTTCACTATTCCACAGAAAGTCATCTTTCACCTTCACAGTAATTTACAAAAGACTGTTTCTTTCTCCTTACTTTGTATAAAGCTGTTCCAGTGATACCTGCATGGTTTCAAGATAACCCGGCCATACAGAAATTCTATTTTCTGACAGTTCATTGAACAATCCTTGACAGACCTGTGTTTATTTAAAAACAAAAGTTAAAAGACAGACTTTGAGGGTTTGAAATGCTACACAATGAAAGCATTAGAACTCAAGTTAATGTATTAGCATTCCTAGCCGGTGCTAATTTTCTGGCCGAAATAATCTCAAAGCAGAAAGCAGCTTGGCAAATAAATCTTAATTTCTATTTAAAAACATGCCAGTGTAAGTTTCCTCCCTTCTATGGGGACTGGCTTCATGACTGACTTCCATAAAAACATTTTTAAAAGCCTTCTGAAGATGTGACTTGTGTGTGAAGATAATTGTGAAAGATTAAGAAGCTGAGGATTGTTTTATTTATTTTCCTTAATTTTGCAAGGAACAAATATCAACTCTCCTACAGTACTAAAAGCACTGTGTTAATGCAAGGCAGACACCTATTACCCACAGTCTGCATTTATGTTAGGAAGAAATTCTTTCCTGTGAGGGTGGTGAGACACTGGAACAGGTTGCCCAGAGAAGCTGTGGCTGCCCCATCCATGGAAGTGTTGAAGGGCAGGTTGGATGGGACTTGGAGCAACCTGGGCTGGTGGGAGGTGTCCCTGCCCATGCAGGGGGTTGGATCTAGATGATCTTTAAGGTCCTTTTCAACCCAAACCAGTCTAGAATTCCTTCAGCTACAACCCACAAGCTGCACAGTGGAAGCACTGTGCAATAAATCTGTACAACCATCAATCTCTGAGAATCAAAGTTGTAACATGATTTTCCCCAAAGTAATCAGTGTCCAAACTGTGACAGAAGTTACGTGTAAAGTTAATGCTCAAAAATAAAAATATTTCTTACAACCTACCTGTCTCAGCTCTGTTGTTGGACCTTTTCCTACATCCAAGGCCACTTTAAGGGGTGCTAAACAAGGATGAAGCTTAAGTACCTAAGAATTTTACAAAGAGTGTCAGATTAGTATGAAATTCTAAAGCAAACTAGGAAATACTAGATTTTTTTCCCTGAAATTTTAAGCATACAAACATTTATCCTAAGACAACATCCTGAATTAGAAGCAAGCTGTATTTTATATAACTAGTACACATGTTAGCTTTGTCAGTCTGGCAGGAATTGCTCCATTTTTACTAAGCCCCAGAAAAGAGATGAAGTTTCTGACAGCAGAGCTCCACCTCTTCATGGAGCCAGAGTCACCAGAGACAGCCCAGCAGACACCATCCAGTCTAGTGCCTGTTCTCAAAGACCAAATGGTTGTTTGATTAACAAGTGCTGGCTGAAAGCTGGCACTCCAGCTCCAGAACTGAGGGTAAAAGTGGAAATAAGGTTGGTCCTTAGGAAAATGCCCCACTACCATCTACAACCCACTTCTCTCAGCAACCTTCAGATGCTGCCCAAGGAGACAAGCTCCTGTTTCCCAAGCACAGCAGGTACATTTCAGTTCCAAACTCCATCACTTGCATGGCAAGATCCTAACTTCTCATCAGAGAGAAGGTCAAACAAGAAAGGTGACCTCAGAATGAGAGAAAAATTTCTTATGTGGGCAAAAAGCACCACAGAGAGTCTCATGGGAGCAGCTTATTGCTACCATTGAGGAGTGTCTTGCCTGCACCTGTTTGGGAAGGGAGCAGAGGATGGCCACATGGAAAAGGGAGGTAATTCCATGCTCAAATTTACAACACTTCTGCAGCTTTTGTACTTGGTCCTGCCACTGCCATCCATCATCCATTCTTCCTTACACTTTCTACAGAAAATTACCTTTCTCTGTGCATTTTTGTTTTTTGTCAATGGATGCTCAGCTAGCTGTAGAGAATCAAAGAGGTATGCTAGCACCCCTCGGTCCAGATTTCCACTCACAGACAGGACATGAGGAATAACATTCTTCCTTCCATCTCGGCCCTGAAGAGAAAAAACCCACAAAGGGCTACCTCAGAGATTGTCCTCCAGATCCTCTTGTTTACTTTAAATGTATAATGAGGTATTGTGCTCAAGCACCCTTGTTAACATTTAAAATACAGATAGAGAGTTTTTAAAGTTACCAGCAATCTTAAAAGTGCAACAGTAACTAGGTAAGTGTGTAACACCTGGGAAAGCAGAAAACCGGAGCAGGTTGGGGTTATTTTGTTGTCCTGCCTCTCTGATCATACATTTACATCTATGGCCAGTACACTTGAAACTCTGCATTTTCTCTCAGAGGTTTGCAGATCCTGCCAAGTGACCACAAGGATTTGCCCACACGTTGTGAGAAACCACTGTGTAACCCACAGGTTTTCAGGTTATGTCACAATCTTCTGCCTCCTGTGCAGAAATAAGCTACAAAACCAGGAAAGACAGGAATGTCACCAAATGGAGAAAAGGTTGCCATGTACTGGTAAAATACAAAGTTACTCTCATTCTATCTCTACAGCCTGACTTTCCAAATATTGCCATTCCCCAGAATTTTGCCTCTATCCAATACATTCAGTGGAAATGTTTCCCTCTGCTCCATTCCCCCTTCCAAGTGTGCCCACTTCTAAAAGCCATTTGCAGTGTTTATCATTCATTAATCCACATATGCTTCTAGATATATGGAATTGGACAAGCTACAGAAATCAAAAACATTTACAGCTTCTTTTCTGATGTGAACTTTACACAACAACACCCCGAGTTTGTGTTGACATCTACACATAGCAGCTGTTTTGTTGATATAGCTCATCTCTAATTTCAAAAAATTAACTCCTTGTAAAAACAAAACAACCCCAAACACTGTATTACCTGCTTTTGAAAGTGACGACCTGACTGCAGAGTGTCAGTTCTACAGTTTTTACAACAACATAAGATAGTCACATGCTAAGCAACTGGACCAGCAAAGAAACTGTTTATCTCACATGTTAACACCTTTACAAAAAATATTTTAAGGTAGTAAAGCTTACAAGCAATTTTGATCTCTCCCCTGGATACATCTGTAACAGTTCAGTATCACCAAGGTTTTTCAATGTTTCTATTGTTTCTGTTCCCCAAGGGAAGCTGTAATGTAAATGAAATCCTCTTCTTCCTTCTTCATCCTGAAAGTCACTGCTGCTGAAGTTAGACGGGCCCATTGCAAACTGGAAATGAAAGGGGTCAGTTATTGCTGCTGTGCACGCTGCATTAACTACAAAACAAGGCTGGCATGCTTGAACCTGAAGTCTATGTTTTTCAGCAAGAGATTTTTATAAATTACAGCCCAAGTCTCCTGGCTGTTTAGAGTATTTTGATTTCAAATCAGTTACACATACAAAACATTTGTCTTTGTAGAAGTCATGCTGTAAACTACTTAACCACTTGCCATAAACAGTTTTGTTTCTCCCAATAAATATACGTATTTAAGTGACCAAAGGCAAGCAGGGTTAACTCCACAAAACCCATCAGGCTGTCTATTCCCCCTCTATTTGAGGTAGAAGGAAGCAGGTCCAGACTTCCCACGGGAATGCTGCTGTTACCTTTCTCCACCACTGGAGTCTCTGGCGTAGCCAGTAATCGAGCCACTGTCCTGCAGTTCTGGGAGAGCTAAACCATGCAAGCAAAGACGTGGTCCTTTCGCCTATTCTTTAAACAATAGCAAGGTCAGCAAGTTAACTCCTTCAAAAATAACAGGGAAAAAGCAAGAAACAGTATTCAAAAATAATCCAAAAGTTAACCAAGTGCAAAACAGTTTAAGTATGATGAGGGATCAATCCCTCTATTACTCTACCTTGTAAAGTTTTTGTTGTGTGGTTCATTTTCTGGAATGGAGTGAAAACACACTCCAATCTGTGCAAGGCCACAAGGCAGCCTTTTGTTCACCAGTTCTAAGCAGCCAACATACTGTGCCAAAACACCTGCCAAGAGACAAATTGCTCGTTTCAGTAGCCACAGAAAAAAAATTAACTTTTAAATTCTGACAGTGAACGTAACACACAGGCTCTGTATGTGCAGCCCCTCTAGTGTTAATGTCCTGCAGAAAGTGGCTCTGCAGGTGCAGCCTGCTTCCTCCAGGTACAGTGGCAACTGTGATTTTAAGAGCCTTTCCCCTAATGACACGGGAAAGCATCCCACGTGCACTTTGGGAT